AATCATCAATATACCGAAAGTAGAGTCCACCGCTATTCTTGATTTGCTTGGCTATTCTTCTTTCAAAGAAAAATATATAACAATTAGCCATAGTCAAGGTTAACGGAGATCCCATAGCTCCACCTCGAATCTGATGATAAAATTAACCATCATAAGAAAAGTAATTATTTTTCATAACAAATCGACTTAATCGAATAATAGTTTCTATTTTTAAATTGTCCACTTTCTTCAATTTCAAACAATCTAACATTTTCTTTAACGATAGTACTCCTTCTACTTGTGGAATCATTGTATATAAATCTACTACATCAATAGTACAAAATATAGTATTTCCATTCATATTTAGAATTGACCACTTTTTCAATTTTTTGACCAGTTCAAAGCCCAAAGTAACTGTCGTCTCTTGGGCCATTTTGTCAAATAATGGTTTTAATAAATCATCCAGAAATTTTGAAATTTTAATTGTAGGATGTTTGAGACCACTTATAATTGGGCGTAGAGGAGTACCAGGTTTGTGGGCTTTTGGTAGATAATATAAATGAGCTAATTCAACTTCATTTGGTTTAGTACTTAATAATTCATATTGTTTTTGAGTAATCCATTTAGCTAATCGTAGATCTAACAAATACTTATTTGTTTTTTGAATATAACCAGGTAATGGATCTTCTTTTCCAAGACATTTATATGCTTGAGTTTGCTCCATATATTCCTTAGATTTTTTGCAATAATCTTCAACTTTACCTAAATGGAATACTTTTGATTTATCTGATTTCTGTAATATAACATTAGCCAATTTAAATTTATGCTTTAATCTCTTAACTAATCTTCCATAATTTTTCTTTTTCTTAACTTTTACTCCATTTAAAACTTGTGATTGACTTGCTTGACTATTTATCAATTCAATAATATCATTTTGATTCATTTTATTCCCAATTACTAAACTTTTATCTAAATTTCTATTTAAATTTTTACTTGTTGTAGAAATATTATGCAACATTTGAAGAAGAACATCTAGTTCGACGATAAATTGTTGAAGTGGCCGACCGGGGCTAACTTTCTTACGAAGAAAACATTTTTCTATTTTACGTTTTAAAGTAGCCAACTCAGTTAAACGTCGTCGAGCTGCTGTTTTTGGATCATTAAATATAAATTTAGGTCCCCATTTTAATAATTGATGTTCTTCTTCAGTTAATTGAATATTTGCTTCATTAATTATTGCTGGAGCAAGAAATCCTCGCCCAGCGAACGTATGAGAGTCGGAGCGATTATTTCCTCTTCTGGATTGTTGGTTTCGCTCTCGACTCGCTGTTCGAATAAAAAATAAAGTGATTGTTCAATTTCTAATTTCATTCTTTTCTCTCGTAATTCATGATATTGTTTAAAAGCTGCATAGCCAGGTTCAGCATTAAATCCATCATCATTTTCTTGAGGAAATCTTTCAATAATACCATTAGTTTCATTCGATAAGATTTCATTTTCTCGAGCAGCTGATTGAACATATAATGTCATTGCTTGAGTGCGAAAATCTTTGGTAATTTGACGCATTTGATTATACATGGCTTGTGCTTCATATTGACTTATAATTGATTCATCAATTTTAAAAGAAAAATCAACTTTGTCAATAATTTTTGGAGGCATATCTAATTGAACTCGTTTTGATAATAATTGATAATTTTTATTTTTTGTTGACCAAATCTTGACTTTAGGTTTCAATATAAAATGTATATTCCATTGGGCTGGAGTAGCTATTTGTTCGAAATCTTCTAAAGCTTTAAATTCTGCCATTTGAGCTTTAGCTAATTGTATTCGAGTTTGAGCCGTCTTTTTAACATGTTGAGTACAAAAATGAATATATTCTAATATGTATTTTTCAATACGTTCAACTGGTTCGCGTACATAATTTTTAACAGTAGTCGTTAGAACAGCTCCTGTAGTGCCAGTTTCTAATTCGTCATCTGTATCTGTTTCTACACTTCCAGTAGCTATTGTTGAACGTGCTCTTTTGACTGATAATTGTATAGCTACTATATTAGCTGTTCACAATAAATAAAATTAAGATTAAAATTAATAATTAAATGCAGTAAAACTTGAGAGTGTAACAACATAATGTATTTAATGAAGAAAGAATACATCGATTATCGAAATTCATGAATTTTCGACTTTATTTAGATGTCATCATCAGATGAACTATTGAAACTAATACCAACTGGAAAACGAATAACTTGTACAGTTTGTACATTTATAACAAAACATAACCATTTTCTTTTTTATTGACATCATAACAAACCCCAATAACATATCCAACATAACCTGTATTAGATGGCATTATATATTAAAATGCTCATTATAACCGCAATGTATATTGATAAATCAAATAAATTACTGCATTTAATTAATTTTAATTTTATTTGTTTTGAATTAATGAACATATAGAGCGTGAACAAAAACAGAACCGAATTCCGATTAATTATCTTTGCAATAGGCGAGTTAGCTTTCTTGTTTCTTTATGTTTTATATACCATTTTGTAGCTCTTGAAATTCTCTATCGAATGGTATATAATAGTTGGGCTTTTATTTGACTATTCAAGGAAAAGTTTTTTATGAAAACAGAGAAGGGTCTATCTTCTTATAGGGAAAAATGGCAATTTTTGCAATAACTTAGCAAAGGTTCTGCCAATCATTCTCATCTTCTTCTCTCCACCGAGATATTGTTAAGACTAAACTGTGTAGAAAATTTGATCGCGATCGGACTCTCCTTTCAAAAGTTATCGTGTAAACGGCCGGCCGGACGGCCACACTGATCGATTCTATAGTGTACTCACTTTTTGAGTACACAAAAAAGAACTCTGTACTGCATCTTGACATGCTTCTGAAGAACAAAAAAAATAGAATATATTGAATGAGCCTGGACAAAGAAGAATAGATTGCGCGATCAAGAAAGCCTAAACTGAGAAAAATGCTATTTTGGTTTCGAACGCTGACGAAGATATTTGGAAAAAACGGTCGAAAATTTTCTCTATAACATTGGCTTCTTTCCCAGGTCCATCATCCAGGCCGTCTGAAACGCCGTCTTAAAAGGCCTAAAACGGTCAAAAAACGATCGCCGGTTTTAATCGTTTTTTGACCGTTTTCCGTCAGCTCGAATTGAGGGCCGTTTTTCCTCGGAACGTAAACGGCGCCGTTTAAGGCCGTATCCGATGCGAAACGGTCATTAGTATTAGGGAAGGAATTTGCTCGTTTAGATTCTTATTTACACTGTTTTTTTTCACTCTCCTCATCTTCCCCAAAGACAATTTGTTATTTTACAATAAATACTCGCTATGCAATATTTCATTGAATTAAGTCTAAATAAAAAAAATACATAAATTAGTTACAGTAAAATACTTACTGTTAAGTATTCCAATTGAAATAAACCTAAAATAAAAAAATAAAATTATTTACTTATGGAAAATACTTACTGTTGAATGTTTGATCAAGATAAACCCAATTAAAAAAAATACATATTTTTATTTAGATATAATACTTACTATTCAATATTTCATTGAGCTAAATCTAAAATAAAAAAAGAAAATATTTATTTAAATAAAATAATCACTATTGAATGTTTCATCGAGATGCATCTAAAAAAATAAATACTTTTTATTTAAGTTGAACACTTACTGTTGAATGTTTCATTGAAACAAATCTAAATGAAAATAAATAAATAAATTAGCTTGAATAAAATACTTACTGTTAAGCATTTCAATTGAAATAAATGTAAAATAAAAAAAATAAAAGTATTTACTTATAGAAAATACTTACTATTGAATATTTGATCGGAATAAACCTAATTAAAAAAAATAAATATTTTTATTTAGATATAATACTTACTACTCAATATTTCATTGAGCTAAATCTAAATAAAAATAAATAAATAAATTAGTTAGAATAAAATACTTACTGTTAAATATTTCCATTGAAATTAATTTAAAATAAAAAAAGAAAGTATTTATTCAAATAAAATACTCACTATTGAATATTTTATCGAGATGAATCTAAATAAAAAAACAAATACTTTTTATTTAAGTTGAGCACTTGCTGTTAAATGTTTCATTGAAATAAATCTAAATAAAAATAAATAAATGAATTTGTTGTAATAAAATACTTACTGTATTTCGGTTGAAGTTAATCTAAAATAAAAAAAAGAAATATTTTTATTTAAACAAAATACTTACTGTTGAATGTTTCATTGAGAAAAATGTAAATAAAAACATATATTTATTTATTCAAATAAATAGTATTGAACGAGACGATAGAAGGAATGGAAATAGAAAGAAATAGCATTCATTTTTTTTAATAGGCAGTGTCTATTCGATCATCAATCATCAGGAGATGTCTAAGGATAACTTTACAGTAGTTATGTTGACACGATGAAAAGAAGTGTGAAACGGCAAAAAAACGATGGTCGTAACGGCAGCTGTTTCCGGTGATGCGTGAACAACCATCGTAACGGATATCGTTTTTCGCTGTATTTCTTCGTTTTACGGCACACTATAAACGATCGTCGTAACGGCAGTCGTTTTTCACCGTTTTTGGATCGTTTCAGGCCGTTTACGGACCGTTCTATATGACATGGGTTACGATGTTTTTTATTTAACATGCAATATAACAATAATAATAATAATAATAATAATAACGTCCCATAGGCTTATCGTTCATTGGAGTCGGCCGCGGTTATTATTACTAATTTCCACATATAGTCGGGTTCTTTCATCTTTGTCCGTTTAGAGACGACGGTATCTGTACCCTCTTCCATCTAACATACTGACTAAAGATGTAGTCAGCACGAAT